GTCAGGTGCCGGCTGCTTGGGGAGGGACAGTTTTGGGGACCAGGAGCTCCAGCCGCATGATAAGCCCAGGGGGTTTGGGATCAGAGCCTCAGGAGCGTCGGCTGGGTCTGACCCTGGGTCCCTGGTACGTGTCAGACTCCTTCGCCCACGCCTGGCTGCAGGGCACAGCGACCGCACCGCGGGGTCAGATGGCAGAGCCAGGCCGGGGCCAGCAGGAGAGGCCTGAGCTGCTCCAGCCAGACCCGGCTCAGCTGGGGGAGCCAGCAGCAAGCCAGTGCCCCCCAGGACACGCTTGCCAGCCCCGGCCCAGGGACAAAGCCGACTGCCCCTAGTCCCATGTCGTGGGGCGGGTGGGGTGCCCCCCGGTCTCCCACTTCTTCCAGCCCAGCCTTTTCTTGTCGTGCCCCTGCCCCATGCCCCCTGCCCCCACGCTCTGTATCACTCGCCAAGGACCAGCCCAGCTGGGTCCTGGGTGGACAAGCCCGGCACGTAAAGGGCTCCGGGGGCAGCAGTGATGAGACGCAGGGCGGGTGTCAGGCATGGTGTGAGCCGGCACTATGCCGCGGCGGGCGGTTCCCCAGTGCCGTGTCCCTGGCAGCTGCATGGCGGGGGGGAGCGGCATGCGGACAGGGTGGTGCTGCCGTGTAGTGCTGCCCCAGCATCTCGCAGGCAGTGAGGGGACCGCACGAGCTGCAGTGCGGGGCGCAGGGCTGGGCCAGAGCACAGGCTGCCCCGAGGGGTTGGCTCTGGCTGTCAGAAGCCAAGTCTCACCCGTGAAGCTGGCATGAGGCCTTGAAGCCAGAGGGACGGGCCGTGCCGTGCCGTGCCGCGCTGCGCGCAGCGGAGAGAAGCCCCAAGGCGCTGGCGCTGGCCACTGGCCGCAGGCTCCTGCTGCCACCTAAGCCCTGCCTCTCTCCCCAGGCCAAAGGACCCTGCACCACCGGAGCGATTCCCTGGAGACCGTGATCCTGGGGATGGGGATGGGGATGGGGATGGGGATGGGGATGGGGATGGGGATGGGGATGGGGATGGGGATGGGGATGGGGATGGGGATGGGGATGGGGATTATTCCTGTGCTGCTGCCGGGGATGGGGATGGGGATGGGGATGGGGATGGGGATGGGGATGGTGCTGAGCATGCCTGGGCGGAGGAGCATGCACCCGGCGGGGGATCCTGCGCATTAACCCTTTAGGAACAGACTGAGTCTTGGGCTGGCAGCTCCGTGCCCAGACCACCCTCCTCTTCCCCCGGCCTGACCTCCCAGCCGGCCTGCCTGGCCTCTGCTGTCTCCTGGCCCAAGAGAAGCTGGGAGCAGGGGTGGGGGCTGGCTTGGAGGGGGGTTTCTGAGGCCTTGGGGAATTGTGCGCCTGGTCCCCCCTAGCCTCTACACAGGCACAGCCTGTATGGACAGGGAGGAACCCGCTGGGCGCTGAGCCAGGCCAGCCAGAGCACGTGCTGCCGCCGCGCAGGGCCCGGGGCGGCTCCACGGGGGTGACGGCGTACTGCTCCCGGCAACAGGTGCGCTCGCTGGTGTGCGATCCGTCTGCCCACAAGCTGCTGATCCTGTGCGGGCAGAGCTCCGACCAGGAGGGGGACCTCATCCTGCAGGCCGGGACCTTCAGCTACCAGAGATTTGCCGAGATCCTTGAGGAGCCGCAGGTGAGCGGGGAAGGGGCCTGGGGCCTGGCCCCAGCACAGAGGGGGCAGGGCTGGAGGTTGCGTGGGGGCTGCGTCCACCCCCGGCCAGGGCGGAGGTGACTCTGAACTGTATGCACACCAGGGCCCTGCCCGCCCCGGGGCTCGGGCACCCAAACCCACCAGCTCAGGCTTCCCAAAGCATCTGCTGACTTCCATGCTTCACCTTTGGCATGACCAGAAGGCAGGGCAGGGATAACCTCACAGACTAACATGTTCAGAGGCCTTTGCTTTCGCAGGCTTCAGCTGCTTCATCTGGTGGTTTGCCAGAAGCCTACAAAAGCTCCTGTCTCTGAATGCATCGGTCTCTAAGGTGCCATCCTGCCCTGCCTCCTGCCTGGCAGCAGACTAGCAGAGCAACCGCCTCTTCTGATGGACCCCGGGGAGGGGCTGATTTCCAGACATCAGCGCTGGTGCAGCCGGCGCCCCGCGCTCCCGCCCCGCAGCCTCCGCCCCTGCCCCTCACCCCCGACCTGACCCCACCTGCAGGCGCTGCCGGTGCCCCTCACCCTCTCCCTGACCTGCAGCCCCTACCAGGCACTGCCGGCACCCTCCTGGTGGGGCCCATTGCCTGCAGCCTCAGGGCTAGGTCGACCTGCCCATTCCTTTGGGACTGGCTGGGCCCTGGCCCTGGCCCTGGCCCTGCCCTGAGTTCACGGTGCCCTGTCTCTCCCCACAGGTCTCCCAGATCCTCAGCAACGCTGACCCCAGCACCAAGGCCTCCCTCTCTGTGCTGTGTGTGGGAGAAGGCGACTGGAGCAACCTTGGGCAGCCACGGTTCCAGGAGCTCCTTCATCTGAGGCTGAACCCAGAGCCGGTCTTGCCGGAGATGGACGGGGTCTCTGAATTCGCTGAGTACGTGTCCGAGACCGTGGACGTACCGTCGCCGTTTGACCTGCTGGAGCCCCCTACCTCTGGGGGCTTCCTGAAGCTTTCCAAGCCCTGCTGCTACATCTTCCCGGGCGGACGTGGTGACTCCGCGCTCTTTGCCGTCAATGGGTTCAACATCCTGGTGGACGGCGGCTCCGAGAGGAAGTCCTGCTTCTGGAAGCTGGTGCGGCACCTGGACAGGATCGACTCCATCCTCCTGACCCACATCGGTGCCGACAACCTCCCAGGCATCAATGGGCTGCTGCAGAGGAAGGTGGCCGAACAGGAAGAGGAGCAGTCCCAGGGCTCCACCAACTACAGCGACTGGATGAAGAACCTCATCTCGCCGGAGCTCGGAGTGGTTTTCTTCAACGTCCCCGAGAAGCTCAAGATGCCCGAGTCGTCCGTGAAGGTGAAGAGGAGCATCGAGGAGGCCTGCCTGACGCTGCAGTACCTGAGCAAGCTGGGCATCAAGGCAGAGCCCCTCTACCGCGTGGTCAGCAGCACCATCGAGCCCATCACGCTGTTCCACAAGATGGGCGTGGGCAAGCTGGACATGTACGTGCTGAACCCTGTCAAGGACAGCAAGGAGATGCAGTTCCTCATGCAGAAGTGGGCAGGGAACAGCAAGGCGAAGACCGGCATCATCCTGGCCAGCGGGAAGGAGGGCGAGATCTCCGTGCCTTACCTGACATCCATCACAGCCCTGGTGGTGTGGCTGCCCGCGAGCCCCACGGAAAAAATTGTCAGGGTCCTGTTTCCTGGAAACGCTCCCCAAAACAAAATCCTGGAAGGTCTTGAGAAGCTAAAGCACCTGGACTTCCTGAGGTACCCGGTTGCCACTCAGAAGGACATCTCCTCTGGCATGCCACCGCCAGCGCTGAAGCAGACCAAGATCAAGCAAAGAACGGACAGCAAAGAGAGCCTGAAATCCTCCCCCAAGCCAGCTGCAGTGAAGCAAGTCAGGAAGGAAGAGGCGGTGGAGGAGGGGGCCAAGGACACGAAGCCAGAGGTGGTGAAGGAGGCCAAGCCCGAGAAGAAAGCAAAAGAGCACACAGAGAAGGGACCAGAGAAACCTGCAAAGCCCGAGAAGATCAAGACAGAGTCGAGCGATGCCCTCAGAGCCGAGAAGAGGAAACTGGCCAAGGACAAGGCGGGCAAGAAGCACCTCAAGGAGAAGGTGTCTAAGCTGGAGGAGAAGAAGGACAAAGAGAAGAAGGAGATTAAGAAAGAGAAAAAGGACTTGAGAAAAGAGGAGGGAAAGAAAGAGGAGAAGAAAGATTCCAAGAAGGAAGAGAAGAAGAAGGAGGCCAAACCCGAGCCAAAGAAGGTGCCTAAGCCGGACCTGAAGCCATTCACCCCGGAAGTGCGGAAAACACTGTACAAGGCCAAAGTCCCCGGCAGAGTCAAGGCAGAGAAGGTCAAGGTCAAGCCAGAGAAGGAAGCACCCGTGGAGCAGAGGCTGCCCGTGCAGAAGGCGCTGGCTCAGCAGGGGCCGGCAGGGACCGACGTGGCCAAGCAGAGGCTGGTCCTGTCCTCGCCCGAGGACCTCACCAAGGACTTTGAGGAGCTGAAGCAGGAAGAGACGGGGGAGGAGCGGGCAGCCCTGGCCATGCCTGATGCCGCTGCTTCCCTGAGGGGCCCTGGGCCAGCCGTGCCACCTTGCCTTGGAGAAGGGCTGGCTATCTCAAAGCAGTCAATTCCCTTGGATGCTGCGGATGAGAGATTCCCCACGGCGCATGGGGAAGGAGAGTTGCCAGGGGAGGAGAAGCCAGTCCCTGGACTGGGTCTAGGGCTCGGACAGGCCAGAAGGTCTGAGGGTGAAGGCGCGGCCGTGGAGGAGCCTCGTGAAATAGCAGAGCTGGGAGACGAAGCCAAGAGGCTCCCGAGCGCCCAGCTCCTCCCAGAGGTTCCTGGCAAAGGGGCAAGAGAGGAGCAAGCCCTGGCACCAGCACCGGCACACCCCGAGCCAGCCGCTGCAGACGTGCGGGCTCCAGGCCGCACAGAGGAAGAGCAGCACGTCTCCCTGGACGCGCAGCAGAGGCAGGCAGACGCCAAGGCACTGCAGGGGCCGGAGGCAGGCGATGGGACTGAGACGGAAAGGAGAGAGGACGTGATAGAAAAGGCCGAGCTGGAGGGGATGGAAGAGCAGCACGTGCTGGCCGAGGGGGTGACGCGGGGCAAAGACTTGTATCAGCTGCCGCGGGGCGGGAAGGAGGGCGCGAGACCCTCGGCCCCAGAGGACCAGGGCAGGAGGAGCCCGTTCCCGGAGAGGGAGGGGGCGAAGGAGGCGGCGCTCGCGAGCAGCCTGCCTGCACCGCCCAGGGCCGCAGTGGAGCACGTCTCCTACATCCAGGACGAGACCATCCCCGGCTACTCGGAGACCGAGCAGACCATCTCCGACGAGGAGATCCACGATGAGCAGGAGGAGCGGATCCCGCACCTGAAGTACGACGTCAGTGCCTACGACATCTCCGTGCCCGATCGCCCGGGCTCCTTTGAAGCCGTCCATGGCATCCCGGCCGTGCCCGTGCCCGATGTGGCGGCCAAGGGCTATGCCGGGCAGGAAGCCGAGATCCTGGCGTACCCCACCAACATCGTGGCGGCCCCGCTGGCAGAAGAGGAGCATGTCTCCTCCGCCACGTCCATCACCGAGTGCGACAAGCTCTCCTCCTTCGCCACGTCCGTTGCAGAAGACCAGTCGGTCGCCTCCATCACGGCGCCGCAGACCGAGGAGACAGGCAAGAGCTCCCTGCTCCTGGACACAGTGAACAGCATGCCCTCCTCCCGCACGGAGGCCACCCAGGGCCTGGATTACATGCCCTCCGCCGGCACCATCTCGCCAACCTCCTCCCTGGAGGAGGACAAGTGCTTCAAGTCTCCCCCGCCGGAAGACTTCCAGGCCCTGGCAGAAGCAGAGAGACGGTTTGGGGCCCAGAAGAAGGGCCAGCATGAGGAGGCAGAGGAGGAGGAGGACGAGGAGGAGGACGGGACCCCCAACATCGAGGTGCCCGGGCGGCTCCACGGCCACTACGGGGCCCCGCTGTTCACGCCACAGGAACGCGGTACCGATGTCCCCACTGACGCCCCCCGGGGAGCGCCACAGACGCCCGTGCTGCCTCTGCCCGCCGAGGAAGCAAGGCTGTCCCAGCTGGACTCGGGCTCTGCCGAAGCCGAGGAGCGATGCATGAGCCCTGACGACAGCACCGTCAAGATGGCATCACCAACGCAGTCCGGCCCCACGAGCGCCGGCCACACGCCTTTCCACCAGTCCCCAGTGGAGGAGAAGCTGGACGCCGTGGAAGCAGAGCTCTTCGAGAAGGTAGCGGATGTGGCTGTGAAGGAGGAAGAGGGCCTGGCCTCCTGCAGGGAGGAAGGGGCTGCGAGCACATCTGAGCCACCGAGCGACGAGGCAGCTGCCGCTCAGCGCGCCCCCGGGCAAGCGCCGCCTGCGGTCCTGCAGCATGCGCCGGCCGAGGAGAGCAGCGTGGCAGCGCCGGCGGAGTCTGCGTCTCCCACAGACAAACCGGAGGAGCTGCCCGTGGCCCGGGAGGAGCTGCCCTGGCTCTCGTACCACAAGCAGGAGACGATTGTGATCGGGGACGAGGACGACCTCCCCGAGCCGCCCGCCCCCAGCACAGACGCCTTCCCGGAGCCAGGCAAGGAGCTGGAGTTCGAGGACGATTCGCTCAAATTCGCCAAATACACAGACTCGGGGCCGGCTGCTGCCCAGGGACTGTCTCCGGAGCGCGTGGCAGCGCCCCACGTCCCAGAGCAGAGCAGCCTTGAGAGCGCCAAGTCCCCAGAGGTTTCCCTTCCAGAGGCTTCCCCGGATGACACTAAATCCCTGTCTTTTACTGAAGGGAGCCCCAGTAAAGAGAAATCGCCAGATATTTCTATTAAAGAAACATCTCCAGGAGACGGAAAGCTGTCGTCTTTCTCGGGAGACAGCTTAGAAAAGGATAAGTCTCCCCCAGTTTCCATTAAAGACATTTCTCCAGAAGACACCAGATCGATTTCTCTCACCGAAGAGAGTCCTGGCAAGGTGCCGTCTCCAGACGTTTTCCTTCGAGGAGCCTCTCCCGAAGACGCTAGATCTCTTGCCGTCGCAGCAGAGCACGCCGCTGTCGCGGCCGTGGCGGTGACAGAGTCGCTTCCAGATGCTGGCAGAGCCTCACCCCGCGGCGGGCAGAGCCCAGCCCCGAGCGGGAAACCGCTGGAAACTGCCGGCACGGATATCCTCCCGCAAGAGCCCAAATCCCCTCCTCTCCTGGGACACAGCCCCGTGAGAGACACCTCGGCCACAGACAGCTCCTCTGCCGAAACCTCTCCAGACGATGCCGGGGGGGTTTCTTTAAGAGAATGGAGCCCGTCCAGGGCCAAGTCCTCAGCGCTCGCCTCTCCTGACGCGAAGGTCTGGGGCGGCGCAGAGCCCAGCCCCACTCGGCATAGAGAGGCCCTGGCTATCTTCTCAGAAGATGTGCAACCCTATCACGTCCCAGAGGAGAGAGAAGCGGAGGAAGAGAAATCCCCAGAAATGGAAGACCTCTATTTGCAAGAGGTGAGTTATGAGAGGAAGGTGTGGTTCCCAGAGGTGCTGCAAGGGGGACCGCGCAAGCACAAGTACGAGGAGGAACGCGAGAGCACTTTCTTAGATGAGGGGCTGGACTATGAAAGACCGCCGCCGCCCGGGACCGAGGAGGAGAAGGCCCGTCAGCCCGTGGCACCGGCACATGGCGCGCTGGGAGACGCGGAGCCGGCCCTTTGGGACTCTGACCACGGACATTTCCCGGAGCAAACGGACTTGGGGAAAGCAGAGCTGTTCCTGAAGAAGGAAACAGATTTCTGGTGCGCCGAAGCTGACAGGCCGGCGCCGCCGAGCCCAGACGTGGAGCCCGTCAGCGCGGACTCGGCCCGGGCGCTGAGGGAGGCCGAATGCCTCTCGCTGGAGGCAGCAGAAGTGGACACGGCCCCTGCGGTGGTTGCGGTCCCTGAAAAATGGGGAGCAGCGGGTGCGCCCGCATCGCCCCCGCCGGTCTCTGTGGAGGAGAGCCAGGCCAGGCCGGCGGGCCCGGCCC